ACTGGATAATTTTTTGTACTTTTAGTAGAGATGGGGTTCCACCATGTTGGCCAGGCTGATCTCAAACTCCTGACCTCAGGTGATCCACCTACTTTAGCCTCCCAAAGTGCTGGGATTATAGGCATGAGCCACCGCGAGTGACCTGGATTATTAATTTTTGATACTGATTTTCCATTTCTAGAAATTCTATTTGTGTTTTGGTACCAAGTCGGGATGTCCATTTTTAGACTTTTTTGTCCTTTGCTCATATTTAAACCTCTTATTTATTTATACATATTAAACGTTCTTATGTCCTATTAATTGTCTGATAATTCCACTAAGTGAAATCTTTGTAGATCCGATTCTGCTGGTTCTCATTTATAATGTCTTTTTTTCTCATATGTTTTGTATTTTTTTTCTTAATTGAGCTAATTTCAGGTAACTTGCTTTGTGAAAATTCTTCTACGTCTGGATTTAAGCTCATTTTTTCCAGAGATAATTTACCATTTGCTTTTGTCAGGTGTCTGGGGGCACTTCCAGCCTGACTGGCAACATTGTGGGGTGTGGGTGTCCTTGAGCAGGGGTCTCTTCCACCTTTCTCTAAGGAAATGAAAAGTTTAAGAAACGGAGATGGCCAGGCGCAGTGGCTCACACCTGTAATCCCAGCACTCTGGGAGGCTGAGACAGGCAGATTGCTTGAACCCAGGAGTTTGAGACCTGCCTGGGCAACATGGTAAAACTCTGTCCCTACTAAAACCAAAAACTAGCCGGGCGTGGTGGTGCATGTCTGTAGTCCCAGCTACTTGGGAGTCTGAGGCAGGAGAATTGCTTGAACCTGGGAGGCGGAGATTGCAGTGAGCCAAGACTGTGCCACAGCACTCTAGCCCGGGTGACAAAGTGAGACTCTGTCTCAAAAAAAAAAAAAAGTTTGGATAGATGAGGCACAGTAGCCCTGCACACAGAAAACACCGTAGGACCCCCCAGTTGTTGACGTTCGTTGAGATGCTGGGGAGCACCCTTGTTAACCAGGCAGTCAAATGGGAAGGCTTCGGCAAAGCGATGCCATACGTTACCTGTGTCCTGGAGAGCTTGACAAAATCCGCCAGCACAAACCAGTGGACGTTCTCGGTACAGGGAGGCGTGGTGAGTGAGCCGTGGTAGCTGTAGTAGTGCTGGAGGTTCTTCGGCAGCATGTCCCGAATGTCAAGGCCAGTCAGGGTTGTTGTTTGTCCTGACCAAGAAGACAGAAGGTAACAGGATGTCAGGGACCACCGCTGCCCCTCAGGAGGACAGCTCAGGCCCAGGCCTCGCCAGGTTCCAATCTCTCGAGTTCAGCAGAATATAGAAGCTGATGATTAGGAAACAATTTCCCAGTTTACTTCTCCCTGGAAGGGATTGAGGGGAGAGACTTTGGGGATAGACGCACTCAGACACCTCCTCCTGGCCGAGTGCTCTTGGCTGCGTGCTCGCTCTGCGGCCGTTTTCTCATCTGTGGAATAGTCAGCAGGATTGCTGTGAGGGTAAGGAGGTAACGTCTGGAAAGCAGCTGGCATTGAACCACTACATAGGGAAGGACTCCTAAGTGTAACTGCTGTGGTCACCATTATCATGGCTAGGCAGAGGACACATTTTATGATTAATGAAAGAAATAAATATGGCCCCTGGAGACTTCTGGGTAAGTGCCCACGAAGAAAGACCAAAATGCCTTGGTTTGGGCTCATTGAGAAGTGGGTAGACAACAGTTGTAAATGCAGAATCAGGCCGGATGCAGTGGCTCACGCCTGGAATCTCAACACTCTGGGAGGCCAAGGCGGGGAGGATTGCTTGGGGCCAAGAGTTCAAGACCAGCCTGGGCAACACAGGGAGGCCCGGTCTCTACAATAAGTTTAAAAAAAAATTTTTTTTTTTAAATAATAAATGCAGAATCAGAACCAAGCCAGGGTCCAGGTGTAGGCATTTGGTCCTGAGCGCCTCCTGCCACGCCCGCTGGGAACCAAGTCCAGCCACACATGGGGCGTAGGGAGGGGCCACTCCCACCAGGGCCTGCAAAGCTCCTACAGGAGCCACATCTGCTCCTGCTCTAGAGTGGCCCTTGTTCCATTCATGTCAACGACGCTGAGCCCCTGAGCTCAGCATGAGACTCTCGAGGCAACACAGGATTGAGCTGGGTTTTGTTTCACTTTCCCTGAGCGCTTTTGCGCTTCTTAAAGGCAGAGAATATAGTTTTGAGACATACGTAGATAGGCCTGTTCGACCAAGGCCACAATGTCTCAGGGTGCCATGAGTAGGCAAAAGAGTTCTAAGTTTTATCATTATTGGAAGATTTCAAGACATAACCTCCAAAAGGACTCTGTGGTAGAGATTTATTTTTGTAACTCTAATGTATTTAAGTGAAAGCCAAGAATTCCAGAATCATGATGCAGCCGCTATAGAAAATAGTATAATGGTTCCTCAAAAAATAAACATACGGCCAGGTGTGGTAGCTCACACCTGTAATCCCAGCACTCTGGGAGGCCAAGGCGGGAGGATCACTTGAGGTCAGGAATTAGAGAACATCCTGGCCAACATGGTGAAATCCCATCTCTACTAAAAATACAAAAATTAGCTGAGCATGGTGGCATGTGCCTGTAATCCCAGCTACTCGGGAGGCTGAGGCAGGAGGAGTGCCTGAACTTGGGAGGCGGAGGTTGCAGTGAACCGAGATCGAGCCACTGCACTCCCACCTCAGAGAGACTCTGTCTCAAAAAACAAAACAAAAAAAAAATTAAAAAAACATAGGTTCCCACATGACTCAGCAATTCAACTCCTATCTACCCAAAAGAAATGAAAGCAGGAACTCAAAGAGATACTTGTACACCCATATTCATATTCATTGCAGCGTCACCTCACAATAGCTAAAAGATGGAAGCGCACCATTTGGCTCACCGGTAGATAAATGGATAAACAAAACATCATACTCCTTCAGCCTTTTTTTTTTTTTTTTTTGAGGCAGAGTCCGCTCTGTCCCCCAGACTGGAGTGCAGTGGGCAATCTCAGCTCACTGCAACCTCCGCCTCCTGGGTTCAAGCAATTCTCCTGCCTCAGCCTCCTGAGTAGCTGGGATTACAGACACCTGCCATAACACCCAGCTAATTTTTGTATTTTAGTAGAGATGGAGTTTCACCATGTGGGCAGGCTGGTTCTCAAACTCCTGACCTCAAGTGCTCGCCAGCCTTAGCCTCCAAAGCATGGGATTACAGTGTGAGCCCTCACCCGGCACTTCAGCCTTAAAAAGGAATGAAATTCTGATAACGTGCTATAATGTGGGCGAACCTAAAAGACATTATGCTAATGAAATAATCCAGACCAAAAAAAAAAAAAAAAAAAGATAAATACTGTATGATTCTACTTATATGAGGTACCTAGAATAGTCAAATTCTTAGAGACAGAAACTGTGGTTACCAGAAGCTGGAGGGGGAGATGGGGAGTTACTGTTGAACGGGTACAGAGTTTCAGTTTAGGAAGATGACAAAAGTTCCAGCAATGGAGGGGTGTGATGGTTGCACCACAATGTGAATGTACTTAATGCTACTGAACTGTACATTTAAAATGGTTTAAGTTGTAAATTTGTTGTTGTTGTTGTTTGAGATGTTGTCTCACTCTGTCACCCAGGCTGGAGTGCAATGGCACAATCTCAGCTTGCTGCAAACTCCACCTCCCAGGTTCAAGTGATTCTCTTGCCTCAGCCTCCCAAGTAGCTGGGATTACAGGCACCCGCCACCACGCCTGGCTAATTTTTGTATTTTTAGTAGAGACGGGGTTTCACCATGTTGGCCAGACTGGTCTCAAACTCCTGACCTCAGGTGATGGGCCCGCCTCAGCCTCCCAAAGTGCTGGGAGGTGTGAGCCACCGCTCCTGGCCTTAAGTGGTAAGTTTTAATTCAGGCTGTGGGACTGCGTGGAGTCACTGAGATGAGACAGAGCCTGACTCCACCCAACACTTAGAGCAGGAGCCAGAGAGTGAGGGGCGGAGCTGGGGTGCTGCGGACCACCCTTTGAAGGTAAACTAAGACAAGAGAAGAAGAGTGGCCCATAGATCTGCCCACCACTCCGGCTCGGTGGAGCAGGGGCAGCTCAGGGTGGGGTGGGTGAGAAAGGAGAACAGGACTATTCTATGACCTTTTCAAGGGGAGCCAGAGAACTGGGAGGCACCTGGGGAATGGTAAAGTCAGGAGATACGTTTGTTTGCTTGTGTTTGGAGGTGGGAGGAATTAGGGCAGATGTGTGTGCTGAACAGTAGGCTTTAATAAAGAGTAAGACATCAACGATGCAGGCCAGGCGCGGTGGCTCGCGCCTGTAATCCCAGCACTTTGGGAGGCTGAGGTGGGCAGATCACGAGGTCAGGAGATCGAGATCATCCTGGCCAACATGGTGAAACCCTGTCTCTACTAAAATACAAAAAATTAGCCAGGCGTGGTAGTGTGTGCCTGTAATCCCAGCTACTCAGGAGGCTGAGGCAGGGGAATCACTTGAACCTGGGAGGCGGAGGTTGCAGGGAGCTGAGATCGTGCCACTGCACTCCAGCTTGGTGACAGAGCGAGACTCCATCTCAAAAAAGAAAAAAGAGAAATCAGTGATGCAGAAGAGAGGAGAGAGAATGGCAGGAAAGGAGGCCCTGAGCGTGGAAGAGGAGTGGGGTTGGGGCCCACGTGGGAGGGGTGGTGTTGACAAGAGCAGGGATTTGTCATCTATTGCAGCTGAAGAGGGGGCGTGGAATTTGGTCCAGATGCACGTGGGTTAAGGAGTGGAGTGTTTCTGGCCTGTGGCTTCTGCCTTCTCAATGGAGTGAGCGTGGGAGCATCAGCTCCAGGGGAGTTGCTGGAGCCCGGGCACAGGGGCTTCAGGAGAGAGGAGAAAGCGTGTGACAAGAATTTGGGAGGTCAGAAAGAAAATGCCCAGGGTGGTACTTTAGAATTTCTGGGCACTGTTCATATTTGTAGCTATAAATAAAAAATTAATACCAGTTGACCAGGTGCGGTGGCTCATGCCTATAATCCCAAAACTCTGGGAAGTTGAGGCGAGCGGATCACTTGAGCCTAGGAGTTGAAGACCAGCCTGAGAACATGGTGAGACCCTGTCTCTACTAAAAATACAAAAAACCAGCCAAGCATGGTAGTGCACCTGTCGTCCCCGCTACTCAGGAGGCTGAGGTGGGAGGATCAACTGAGCCCCAGAGGTCGAGGCTGCACTGTGTCATGATCCCACCACTGTACCCCAGCCTGCACGACAGAGCGAGACCATGTCTCAAAAATAATAGCGATAATAATACCAGTTAGATGTCTATGGATTCCTGTCCAACTGCATCCAGCTCTTTGGCTACCAGCTCTGAGTTGGTCTGGAGCTTTGCCAGTGAGTCTGTGGAGGGGTAGAGGAGTGATGGCATAGAGGGTGTTTGCATGGGAGTGTTGAGGGAGACTTCAGAGCATTGGGGTGGAATCTCAGCTAGGAGACAGATGAAAGAACACAGGCGTCACTAGGAGCGAGAATGTGGAAGCCCCAGGTTTGGAGGACTCGGGTCAGGTGAGTTGCAGGAGGGGCTGGGTGCTGAAGTCAGAGGACTGGGAGGCTGGGAGGTGCGGGCGGAATGGGACACGTGAAGTCGAGAATGCAGAGCTGATGTGGTTATAGCTCAAAGTCAAGGGTTGACCTTTGGTGGGAGATGGCTCTTACAAGAATGCTGCCTTTTGGAGGCAGAGGGGACGGAAGAACACCCCAACTGTCTGTATGTCCAAGTGGGATGACGAGGGCTTCCCTCTTGACATTCATCTCAGCCTGGAGCCAGGTGGACATCTCTCTAGCCGCCAGGACTGTCACTGCCAGCTGAGGTGACAGTCATCGAAGTGAGGATATCCCCACTTAGTGCAACTCCAGCCAGAAGTTCCAATCATAGGAAGTGACACATCGAATTTATGCACAGCCTTCTCAGAGAGGTTTGCTGCCTAAGCCAACAGCAGAAATCACTGGAACAAGTAATCTGGCACAGGGAGGGGTGGACTCCCTTGGCAGGGCCCACTGGCCACCCTCCCCACCAGCATCAATCCCCTGCCCCCTGGGCACACCTCACACTCACACTCACACTCATTCCCTTTCCCTCCTGCAGCCACAGTTGGCTTCCCTTACCTGGGTACCTGATGTTGGCCAGATGAGAAATGAAGCTGCTGTAGTAAGTGTTTTCAGGGTAATCCTTCACCTGCAACGAAGCGCAGAGCACTGAGCGTAAGTGAAGAAGAGGCCCCAGCACCATCTCTACTCATCCAGCCGCTCAGCTTTCTAGCTGATTGGGCCGAGCCTAGAGAGTAAGGAGAGGCAGCCTGTGCCCTGTTGTGTTTTGGCAGAGACAGTCTGATTGTTCTTTGCTACCAACCACACAGGTTCAGGAGTCCCTCCAGAAAGGCACTATCTTAAGTATTTTGGCAGCTTCCAGGGAAAGAAGCTTCTCAGTCATTGGTGATGCCCTCAGAAATGGCCAACACTTACTCTAAAAAAGTCCCCTGCAAGCTTGTTTTTGTTTGTTTGTTTGTGGGTTTTTTGTTTGTTTATTTGTTTGTTTTTTGAGAGGGCGTCTTTCTCTCTTGCCCAGGCTGGAGTGCAGTGGGGTGATCTCAGCTCACTGCAACCTCCGCCTTCTGGGTTCAAGCTATTCTCCTGCCTCAGCCTCCTGAGTACTCAGCCACCTGAGTACAGGTGCTCACCACCACGCCTGGCTAATTTTTTTGTATTTTTAGTAGAGACGGGGTTTCATCATGTTGGCCAGGCTGGTCTTGAACTCCTGACCTCGTGATCTGCCCACCTCAGCCTCCCAAAGTGCTGGGATTATAGGTGTGAGCCACCACACCCAGCCTGTGTGCTTGTTTTGGGCAGTGTCAGCCACAGTCAGATTCTTTGTGATGAGGAGGGCTTGATCTCACGAGCTCCCTTCTTCATCCTCAGGACTTCTGACAGAGAGCCAGATGTCCAAGGCAGAACGACTACAATTCCCCCAACACCAGATCACTCTTTCTGAATGAGTATTGGCTTTAAAAGTCAGAAAAGTTGCTTTGGGTGAAAAAGGTCTATTTTCAATGGTTCTTTTCAGTCAAGTGGTTGATCTCTTTCACTGTGCATAAATTTGGCTTTCTTGGCTTTCTGACTGCATTTGCTATTTGTTTTCTAGATGTCTCGTGCCCTTATTGTTGCATTGGTCCACCTTTACTGCCTTCTTTTGTGTTAAGCAAATACTTTTCATGTACCATTTAATCATTTTTAGTTATTTTCTTAGCGGTTGCTCATGTGATTACCATATACAACTCAATCACAATCTATGTCAGGTTAATATTAATTTGATTTCAGTAAAAGATAGCAACTTTGCTTCAAAAGAGCTCTATTTCTTCCTCGTCCTTTCTTCTATTTTTGTCATATGCATTACATCTACATATATTATAAGCCAGTGGTATATATAGTGGTATAGTCATTGCTTTAAATAATCTTGATGGTTTTTAAAAAGAAATTAAAAGAAGAAAACACAAAAAATAAATGTGTATAGTCTTCTCTGTTCTCCATTTCCAGTACTCTTCACTTCTTTCTGTGGATCGGAGTTACTGTCTGGTGTCATTTTCTTTCAGCCAGAAGAGCATCCTTATATATGACTTGTAAGATAGGCCTGCTAGCAATTATACTGGTTCTTGTATACCTGGGAATGTCTTTGTTTCACCTTCATTGTTGAAGGGTGGTTGATTGGATATAGAATTGTTGATTGACAGTCATTCCACTGTGTTCTGTTGACTTGAAAAGTCAGCCATTAATTGGACGGTCATTTCTCTACATATAAGAAATCCCTTTTCTCTTGCTGCTTTCAGCAGTTTAATTTTTGATGTATCTAGACTTGGTGTTTATTTATCAGACTTGGGGTTTTTTTAGTTTCTTGGATTGGTAAATTTATGTTTTTCCTCAGATTTGAGGCTTTTTGGCCATTGTTTTGTTTGGTTTTTTACTTCCACTTTCTCTCTCTCCTCTCCTTCTGGGACTCCCATTATATATATATATGTGTGTGTGTGTGTGTGTGTGTGTGTGTGTGTGTGATGCTATACTTGATGTTGTCCCCGTGAGTCTACAAGGCTGTTCATTTTTCTTCTGTCTTTTTTCTCTGTTTTTCAAATTGGATAATTTCATTGCTCTATCTTCAAATGAACTGATTCTTTTTTTCTTCTGCTGCCTCACATCTGCTTTGGGCCCATCTAGTGATTTTTTTCATTTTGTTTATTATACTTTTCAACTCTAGACTTTCCATTTGGTGCATCTTTAAAGTTTCTATTTCTCTATTGAGATTCCCTTTTTGAGTCATTGTCATCATATTTTCCTTCAATTCTTTGAACATAGTTTCCTTTCATTCTTCAAACATTTATGATAGTTGGTGGTGTTTTTTTTTTTTTTTTTTTCACTTAGCCACAGCATTGATAGTTGTTTTAAAGTCCTGTCTGCCTGATCGCTCTGGGTCCACTCAGGTCAGTTTCTGTTGATTGATTTTTTTTTTCCTCCTAAATATGGATTATATTTTCCTGTTTCTTTGCATGCCCAACTTTTGTTTTGTTTTGTTTTATTTTTAAGATGGAGTCTCGCTTTGTCATCCAGGCTGGAGTGTAGTGGCATTATCTTGGCTCACTGTAGCCTCTGCCTCTTGGGTTTGAGTGGTTCTCATGCCTCAGCCCCCGCAGTAGCTGGGATTACAGGCATGTGCCACCACGCCCTGATAATTTTGCATTTTTAGTAGAGATGGGGTTTTTCCATGTTGGTCAGGCTGATCTCAAACTCCTGACCTCAGGTGATCTGCCTGCCTCGGCTTCCCAAAGTGCCAGGATTACAGGTATGAGTCACCATGCCTGGCGTTTTTGTTTTGTTTTGGTTTTGGTTTCACTCTTGTTGCCCAGGCTGCAGTGCAATGGCACAGTCTCAGCTCACTGCAACCTCTACCTCCCGGGTTCAAGTTATTCTCCTGCCTCGGCCTCCCAAAGTGCTGGGATTACAGGCGTGAGCCACCGTGCCCAGCTTTTTTTTTTTTTTTGAGACGAAGTCTAGCTTTATTGCCCAGGCTAGAATGCAATAGCGTGATCTCGGCTCACTGCAACCTCCGCCTCCTGGGTTCAAGTGATTCTCCTGCCTCAGCCTCCCAAGTAGCTAGAGTTACAGGTGCCCGCCATCATGCCCAGCTAATTTTTGTATTTTTAGTAGAGATGGGGTCTTGCCATGTTGGTCAGCCTGGTCTTGAACTCCTGACCTCAAGTGATCCACCCACTTTGGCTTCCCAAAGTGCTAGGATTACAGATGTAAGCCACCGCGCCCAGCCCCACCGCCTAGATTTTCTTAGAAATGCAGAGGTGTTTACCGGGTGTGGTAGCTCACACCTGTAATCCCAGCACTTTGGGAGGCCGAGGTGGGCGGATCACCTGAGGTCAGGAGTTCGCAACTAGCCTAGCCGATATAGTGAAACCCATCTCTACTAAAAATACAAAAATTAGCTAAGCATGGTGGCAGGCACCTGTAATCCCAGCTACTTGAGAGGCTGAGGCAGGAGAATCGTTTGAACCTGGGAGTCGGAGGTTGCAGTAAGCTGAGATCGTGCCACTGCAGTCCAACCTGGGCGACAAGAGTGAAACTTTTTCTCAAAAAAATAAATAAATAAATAAAGGAAATGCAGAGGTGTTGCCTTTGTCTGATTGGGTTGCAGGTTTCCCCTTGCCCTCTGAACAATTTGTGTCTACGCAACCCCTCTGGGATTCCAGCTCTTGTAAGTCAGCTTGTCCATGGTAACTAAGGTCTGGAGATTGACAGCACAGAAGCACAGTGATCTTCCATCCAATCAATGTTTCCAAGAACTGTGAGCTCAGGAAAAGATGGAGAGTGATAATGAAGAAGACTGTTCAACCAGATTTTGCAGACACACGTGGGTAGTTTCTGCTTACCTCAACGAAGGCTGCCAGTACAGCCAAACCATCCGGCGCATCTTGGGCTGTCTCATAGCTCTTGTATTTAGAATTGTAGTGAACAACGTGAATCTGTAAGAGCAAGGTAGGGTGCGTCAAGGGCAGTTCATAGAAATTTGGATGCTTAAGATTTCCAGGGAAGAAGGAAGAGAAAGGAAGGTGCTCCATCTGAGACCTCAGACTGTTCCACACAAGCAACTTGGACCTCTATCTCCCTCCACTTGGGCTGCAAATCCCATGAATCAAGAGCAGAAATTTCGGCCAGGCGCGGTGGCTCAAGCCTGTAATCCCAGCACTTTGGGAGGCCGAGACGGGCGGATCACGAGGTCAGGAGATCGAGACCATCCTGGCTAACACAGTGAAACCCCGTCTCTACTAAAAATACAAAAACTTAGCCGGGCGAGGTGGCAGGCGCCTGAAGTCCCAGCTACTCGGCAGGCTGAGGCAGGAGAATGGCGTGAACCCGGGAGGCGGAGCTTGCAGTGAGCTGAGATCCGGCCACTGTACTCCAGCCTGGGTGACAGAGCGAGACTCCGTCTCAAAAAAAAAAAAAAAAAAAAAAAAGAGCAGAAATTTCCCAAAGAATGGAAAGAGCAAGAATGGGATTCTGGAAGATGGCAGTTTCAGGCCATTTCCCGACCACACCTCCCTCCAGGCAGACAAGCTGGCAGAGTCTGAAGGGGTCACATGAGGACATAGGGTTCTCCTGGGGTGTCTGGGGGCTTTGCGGGGAGAGTGAGCTTGCACCCCTTGTCCCAGGCAACCACTGTTAACATGTAGTCATCCTATGGATGGATTCTGGCAAAAGAGGGAACTCAGAAAATCTAACATAGTCCAGGCGCAGGGGCTCATGCCTGTAATCCCAGCACTTTGGGAGGCTGAGGCGGGTAGAACACTTGAGGTCAGGAGTTTGAGACCAGCTTGGCCAACATGGCGAAACCCCGTCTCTACTAAAAATACAAAAATTAGCCGGCCATGGTGGCAGGTGCCTGTAATCCCAGCTTCTCGGGTGGCTGAGGCAGGAGAATCATTCGAACCCAGGGGACAGAGGTTGCAGTGAGCCAAGATCACACCACTTCACTCCAGCCTGGGCAAAAGAGCAAAACTCCGTCTCAAAAAACAAAAAAAGAAAATCAAACACATAAAAATCCAGCTGAAACAAAGGAGGGCTTGCCACACCCTGTGGGCTGTGAAGTCCTGCCCACCTGAGTCCTGTAAGGGCAGGACCTTGCCTGAACCCCTGCCACAAAGTGGTGATCCATCAACAGTTGCTGAGTGAATAAAAAATAAACTCAACTTCAGGATAACTTAACTGCTACCTTTGCACAAAGTCTTTTGGCTGTTTTTGTTTGTTTTGTTACTCAGACTGGAGTGCAGCAGCATGATCAGGACTCACTGCAGCCTCAACCTCCTGGCCTCAAGCCATCCTCCCACCTTAGCCTCCTCAGAAGCTGGAACTATAGGTGTGCGCCACCACTCTGGCTAATTTTTTTTTTTTTTTTTAGTCACAGGATCTTGCTACGTTGCCCAGGTTGATCTAGAACTCTTGGGCTCAAGCAATTCCCCTGCCTTGGCCTCCCAAAGTGCTGGAATTACAGGTGTGAGCCAGTGCACCCAGCCTTGGCTATTTTAATAAGAAAAGTGATGGCCGACACTGTGGCTCACGCCTATAATCCCAGCACTTTGGGAAGCCAAAGCGGGTGGATCATCTAAGGTCAGGAGTTCAAGACCAGCCTAACCAACATGGTGAAACTCCATATCCACTAAAAATACAAAACTTAGTCGGGCATGATGGCGGGTGCCTGTAATCCCATTTACTCAAGGGACTGAGGCAAGAGAATTGCTTGAACCCAGAAGGTGGAGGTTGCAGTGAGCTGAGATCGCGCCACTGCACTCCAGCCGGGGCAACAGAGCGAGACTCTGTCTCAAAATAAATAAATAAAAAGGAAAGTGACTACAGGGTTTGAAGGAAAGAGTACACAGTGGGAGTCCTCAGGTACCTCGATCACATGTCTGATCCCGTCCACGGTGTGCTCAGAGCCCCTGATCTTCGAGGACCCTCCTCCCCAGTGAAAGTGCATCTGCTGGGCTATGTACACAGTGCCGTCGGCTGCTGTCATGCGCATGGTGGAGGGCAGGCTGATCTGCACTGGAGAGAAAAGGTGGGGCTGAGAGCAGAGTAGGTGAACACAGAGGGGTCAGGCCTACAGGCTGGGTAGCTTCTCTGCTCACCTCCCACCTGTCTGAGCCTAGGGCAAGTCAATACCATAGACTGGCTTAGCATGCCATGAGCAGGGTCACCAAAGGAGAAGAGGCGTTTGCACACAGGGCACAGGGTGAGGTCAGGATGGAGGCCAGGCACCGAGTAAACCAGACTGGGCAAGTGCCTCTCCCCAGTACACACCTTCCCGCTCAGAACCAACAGGCCAAAGGCAGGACCACATAGTGGCAGGTCCAGCTGGCTGGCCCCAGGGAAAGGGAAGGTCCTGAAATACGGTCAATGGGCATGGAAACTAGAATTCTGCTCTCTATCTCTGGCCGATTTTGGAATTTGCCGAAGGTATAAGAATAGGAAATGGGGCCTCTTAGAACTGTTTTCTTTTCTTTTTTTTTTTTTTTTCAGGCTTATTCTGCTGCTTAGGCTGCAGTGCAGTGGCACGATCATGACTTACTGGAGCAACTCACTGCAGCCTCCAACTCCTGGCTTCAAGGGATCCTCCCACCTCAGCCTCCCAAGTAGCTGAGACTACAGGTGCCCGCCACCACGCCTGGCTCATTTTTGTATTTTTAGTAGAGATGGGGTTTCACTATATTGATTAGGCTGGTCTCGAATTCCTGACCTCAAATGATTCACCTGCCTCAGCCTCCCAAAGTGTTGGGATTACAGGCGTGAGCCGCCACACCCAGCTGAAATCTCTGTCTTTTGGAATGAACTACACAAAAAGGAAAAATGGACTCAGTTACTAAGAAAAGTGACTAAGAAAAATACCCATGAGGATAGAACTTTGGCATTGGAAACGGCCAGGCAGCATGTGTCTCATGAGCAAGATCTTCCCATTTATTTATTTATTTATTTATTTATTTATTTATTTATTTAGAGACAGAATCTTACTCTGTCACCCAGACTGGAGTGCAGTGGCATGATCTAGGCTCGCTGCAACCTCTGCCTCCTGGGTTCAAGCGATTCTCCTGCCTCAGGCTTCCCAGTAGCTGAGATTACAGGAATATGCCACCATACCCGGCCAATTTTTGTATTTTTAGTAGAGACGGGGTTTCACCATATTGGCCAGGCTGGTCTCGAACTCCTGACCTCAAATGATCCGACCTCCTCAGCCCCCCAAAGTGCTGGGATTATAGGCATGAGCCACCATGCCCGGCAAGATCTTCCTATTTAAAGTCATCAGTGGTGGCTGTAAACAAGAACATTTTCTTAAAAGACAGCAAATATGAGGTATTTAAAACCCGTCAGATGCCCCCCTTCTTCCTTTCCAAATTGTCTAAAGGAGCAGGGAGCTATGATTAAATTCATAACGTAATGTGCTGTAACGCAGTAATCTGGCCTGAAAGGTTTTCACCGGCCGTTTGGCAGAACAAGTGCTTGGTATTTAGAGCTTGAGATGTGGCTGGCCTCAAAAATCAATGCTTGCAAGAAAAGGAGGCATGCAAGGTCAGCAATGCTAAAAGCGGATGGGAGCTGAGGAACTGAGGACCCGAGCAGAGCTCCCTAAATGGACAGTCAGCACCACAGAAGAAATGAGAGAGGTCCTCACAATTTCCCCAAAACACAGCCCCCGGGAGACAGAATGTGTTACTTCTGGTTACACTGACAGGCCCACACAGGCCCAGTTGGAAAAGAGCCACAAACCTGAGCCTGTTGCTGTGCTTTTTTTTTTTTTTTTTTTTCCTCGCCTCTCCAAAGTGCTGGGATTGCAGGCAAGACCACCATGGCCTGGCCTATTCCTTTACTTCTTAATAAACTTGCTTTCACTTTATTCTGTGGACTCACACATTCTTTCTTGTGAGATCCAAGACCTCTCTTGGGGTCTGGGATCGGGACCCCTTTTTGGGTACCATATAGACAACGTTGGAAAGAATGGACGTTGAAATAGTATTAAGTCTTCCTATCTGTGAACATGAATATTTCTCCACTTATTTAGTTCTTCCTGATTTATTTCATTGTTTTATGATTTCCGTATATAGATTTCGTCCATATTTTTGGGCAATTTTTGTATTTTTAGTAAGATGA